TTCTACTACTACTACGACTACTACTACTACTACTACTACTACTTCTACTTCTACTGCTACTACTACTACTACTACGACGGCTACTACTACTACTAATACTACTACTACTACTACTACTACTACTACTAATACCAGTAGCAGTAGCAGTAGCAGTAGCAGTAGCAGTAGCAGTAGCAGTAGCAGTAGTAGTAGCAGGAGTAGTAGTAGTAGTAGTAGTAGTAGTAGTAGTAGTAGAAGTGGTAGTAGTGGTTGTAGTAGTAGTAGTAGTATTAATATTAGTAGTAGGAATACTGTAGTATCTAGAGTAAAAGTGTAGTAGAAGTAGCAGCTGCAGCAGCAGCAACAGTAGTAGTAGTCGTAGTAGCCGTAGTAGTAGTAGTAGTAGTAGTAGTAATAGTAATAGTAATAATACCAATACTAATAATACTAATAACAATAATAGTAAAAGTAATCATCATAAGCAGTGCTGCAGCTTTGCTAGCTAGCATGTCTACAGCGCCTTGTGCATGTCGGATGCCGAGCGTTGAAGGTGCCTGAAGACGAAGTCCACCGATGTCCTGGCGGAGGCGGAGACAGTTGAGGCAAGGGTTGCCTGCGGGGCAGACACACGGATCAACCCCGGCCTCTGATACTTGCTTGGTGCCAGATCATGTAACTCCAACTGCCCCAATGTTGCTTCTTGGGTTTTGGAGTTGAAGCCGCTACCTCGCGATAGAAATCTATCCAGTGTGCACACCGTCTTGTGCTTCTTTTGCAGGCGGAGGAGTCTTCCGTCCCTGAATCACGGAGCCAGAGGCTCATGGCTTGCAGACATGATACAACCAACTTAGCAAGAATTGCAGGATTGATGAAGTTCTATACAGCCCAATCACTTTTTGGCGGGGTGGAACTCGTCGGATCTGCACACAACTGGCATGGTATCCACAGCCCATTCATTGATGGTGGACTGCTCAGCTTTCTGCGACACAAAGTGCAGGATGCGCTTCTGCACTCGGCTGAACGGTTTGCCATCCTGGGCTGGGGCGGGCTGTTTGGCATCGTGGCCATACAGCTAGAGGGACAAGCGCCCACAAAATCTCGCCCACCTAAGCTAAGCTCTCACTCTTTGCCACTTTGCCACTCTGGCTTTGTGTGCGTGTGAGTCGTTTTCCCTCCCATCCTCTCACCTCCAGGGTTGTGCCTTTGCTTGCGTCTTTGTGTGTATTCCTCTCTCCCTTTGTTCTGCTTGTTGGGCTTCTTCCTTTTCTTGCTGTCTTTCTTCCCTCCCCCCCTTCCCATCTCCCTTTGTCTCTGTAACAGCCTCTCTCTCTCTCTCTCGCTCTCGTTCCCGCTTACTCTCCTTCGTAAGCTAATCAAAGTAGAATATGAGCAAACTGCAGGCTCGCACTCATATGTGTTTTTCAGACAAACTATCATTGACACGTTTTTGTTGGCCGGGCATGAAAGGGTGATAGATAGGTGCTATTCCACAGGCCGGGCACTACAGGTGCTTGCGGTAAGGTTTTTGTCTTGGCGAATGCCGCGGTGATGGTTCGCGGATGCTTGTGGTAAGGTTTTTGTCTTGGCAAATGCCGCGGTGATGGTTCGTGGGTGCGTGTGGTATGCTTCTTGTCTTGGCAATTGCCACGGTGATGGTTTGCGATTCAAGGATGTCGTGCGCGACAAACAGGGTTAACAAAATGGGTGCTTTTTTTCCGCACTGGTTGTTGGCTTCTTGTTCCAAGGATGTTGACCACAACAACTGGGGTTAACAAAATCGGGTGTTTTTTTTCTGCACTGGTTGCTGGCTTCTTGTTTCAACGATGTTGAGCACGACGACTAGGTTAACAAAATGGGCTGTTGTTTTTTGCACTGGCTGTTGGCATATTGTTTCAAGGATGTTGAGCACGACAGCTAGGATTAACAAAATGGGTTGTTTCTCTGCACAACAACTGGGGTTAACGAAATGGGGTGGTTGTTTGCGCTGGTTGCTGGCTTCTTGTTTCAAGAATGTCGAGCACGACGACTAGGTTAACAAAATGGTGTGCTCTTTGCGCTGGCTGCTGGCTTCTTGTTTCAAGGATGTTGAGCACGACAACTAGGGTTAACAAAATGGGGCGTTTTTTTCTGCATTGGTTGTTGGCTTCTTGTTTCAAGGATATTCAGCACAACAACTGGGGTTAACAAAATGGGGTGCCTTTTTTCTGCACTGGTTGCTGGCTTCTTGTTTCAAGGATGTTGAGCACGACGACTAGGTTAACAAAATGGGTTGCTTTTTTTGTGCACGGGTTGTTGGCATATTGGTTCAAGGATGTTGAGCACGACAACAGGGTTAACAAAAAGGTGTGTTTGTTTTGCGCTGGTTGCTGGCTTCTTGTTTCAAGGATGCTGAGCACAACAACTGGGGTTAATAAAATGGGGTGTTTTTCTTCTGCACTGGTTGCTGGCTTCTTGTTTCAACGATGTTGAGCACGACGACTAGGTTAACAAAATGGGCTGCTTTTTTACACTGACTGTTGGCATATTGATTCAAGGATGTTGAGCACGACAGCTAGGATTAACAAAATGGGGTGTTTTTTCTGCACTAGTTGCTGGATTCTTGTTTCCAGGATGTTGAGCACGACAACTAGGGTTTAGAAAATGGGGTGCTTTTCTTCTGCACCGGTTGCTGGCTTCTTGTTTCAACGATGTTGAGCACGACGACTAGGTTAACAAAATGGGCTGCTTTTTTACACTGACTGTTGGCATATTGATTCAAGGATGTTGAGCACGACAGCTAGGATTAACAAAATGGGGTGTTTTTTCTGCACTAGTTGCTGGATTCTTGTTTCCAGGATGTTGAGCACGACAACTAGGGTTTAGAAAATGGGGTGTTTATTTCTACACTGGCTGTTGGCTTGCCCGAAAACCTCCTTGCTGACATGGATCTGGAAGCAACTGCTGGAATGGCACCCGCAGCAAAAACCACATTGCTGTGGACAACTTGACACCTGCACAAGCTGGGGTTCTTGTGTTTTAGGGTCCGAGCCGCCTATTAAAACGATGCAGGGCCTCAGTTGGTTATATCAGAACTTCCCTCCTGGATTGGAGTTGCCCTTTATTTTTTTATTGAAGCTGCGCAGCCTATTGACCAAGTTCCCTGCTCTTCTTATAGCATTGCCGTGAAAGCAGAGTCCCAGGCGATCCTGTTGTCAAGCTTTGCTGCCCTTTGGCAAGCAATGAGCACTGTTGCCACCTGAGACAGAATCACGTACAGTTCAGCACAGGAGCACGGTGACAGATTAAGTTAGCCTTGACCGGAGCTCCAGATACTCAAGGCATGCAGTCCAGCTTTCAAGGTCCACCATTCCCTCGCGTATCAGCAGAACACCTCGGATGGCTTCATCTGAAGTTATTAGTTAATTACACAACCAGCTTGTTCAAACTGCAGATGAACATGCCGAGGCTCACTCAGGCACGTTGCGTAGCAAGGGAATGTCCATGTCACTGACGAGACAGTTGGCTAGGAAGGTTTCCATTGCCACCATCGCAGCATCTTGCAAGGATGACTTGCATCCCCTTACCTGTAAAGAGCATGCAGCCTCAGTGACTTATTGAGATAAAGCATTGATGCAAAGTGTGTCGCACGCACGATTCGCGATGAGCTTGCAAGTGCTACTGCAACATCTAAGGCATGACTGCCAAGCGTCGCAGAAAAACGCACCTGGCCACGTCATACCATCGAACCGCAGCTGGACGGCTTGGTCCGACACAACGATCTGCTTGCCCTTGTAAGAAACTGGTCGGATTATGTGCTTGTCGAGATCTAGGCCCCACGATTTTGCCACATCGTCCGCTTGAAGCTCACGCCTGGCTTAGGACGGAACGAGACCAGGTCAATCTGCAACTGCTACACGTGAGATGGAGGATGCATTCAGGCAGGAGGCAACTTGGCGTACCAATTGTAAAATTTCGTACCTTTGCGTTGAAGCTCCCAAACATCCGAGCATCGCCAGATGCACCGGTAACCCTCTATGGAGTTCTCCTCCGGCACCTTGGCGCCGAACATGTCACGAACTTCTCCCAAACCTAAGCCTTGCTGGGTTTGCCTCACAAAACAGAAACTGGCTTTAAATCATCCCAGGCGCCAAGCAAATTTCGAAGACACCCCGCACACCCTTCTCGGTTCGGACATACATTCTTTTCAAGGGCGTCAGATCTGCTTTCTGGTCAGGGCTTGCAGTCGAAGATTGCTCTTCGGCCACCTCCTCAGCCCCTCTGTCAGGCTTGCTGAAAGTCTGCGGGCGGATGGCAATGCCAACCCGAGCTGCTTGGAGCCGGTGCTTGTTCAAGGCTTCCTGGGAGGCGGATAGGACCCCGAAACCTGTAGCTAGGATAGACAGAACAGTAAGTGTGCCCCGTCCTCCCACACTGCAGCATCCAGTTTGCCGAGGCTGCCCAGCGCTTCCCCCCGGCTGATGGCCTGGTCCACGAATGCAATCTTCTTACTGTTTCGCGAGCGAAGTGCGTCAGCATCCTGGCTGGACAGCTGCCTTGGTGGAACGGTCTGAGAACACACACTCGTTGCCATGTGCTGGTCATATATATATATAGAGTATATAGAGGTCGCGGTTCATCTAAACTAGAGCCAGGCAGGCTGCCCAGGCAGCGGGATGGTGTGCTGTGAAGTAGCACGCTGGTCTGTGAGGTAGCACGCTGGCTGGTGAGGTGGCACGCTGGCTGGTGAGGTGGCACGCTGGCTGGTGAGGTGGCACGCTGGCTGCTGAAGTGGCACGGTGGCTGGTGAGGTGGCACACTGGCTGGTGAGGTGGCACGCTGGCTGGTGACGTCGCACGGTGGCTGGTGAGGTGGCACGCTGGCTGGTGAGGTGGCACGCTGGCTGGTGAGGTGGCACGCTGTCTGGTGAGGTGGCACGCTTTCGTGTGAGACAGCAGGTAGGGTTAGAGTTGGGGCTACAATATCTATAGGGGACCACTGCGGACTAGGCTCGGATCTGTGAGCTCTCGGATGCGTTCTGCGATCCAACTCTCCTCCGCGATTGCCTTTCGGGGCAACAATCCTTCTACCTCGTCGTCGCACTTTCGACTCCAGCCGTCACGTCCGTGCGGAGGTGGCACGCAAAAGTGAAGCAGCACGGTGCATTCTGGGAATGCAGTAAGGTCAGGGCGGAAGATTGGTGTAAGAGTAGAAGTCCGTTTAGGGGTTTAGTGGGCAGGCGTCAGTGCCACCTCGATTTTGGGTTCCGCTTCCAGGTTGCAGCGCCATGCTGAATCGGCATGCGGTGGTTGAAAGAGCACGCTCGCGACTGTCGAATGGTTGAGGCAGCACGCAGCCGCCCGCAAAAACCCCCGGGAACCTGCTTCCCCTTCTATTTTATCTTACGAGCACCTGCCCAAAAACAGGCCCACCAAATCCCAGCTCAGAACACAACCCCAAACCCACAGGAGCCGACTCTCCCGCGACTATAATAATCAGCTCAACCCCTCCCGAAAAAGGCGCAGCAGCCAAAATCTGAAAATCCGAAGACACAGCCAAGGCTGTCTGCCTGGAACAGCGGAGGCGCTGGTGTGAAGCCAGCACAACAATCGATCCGGAAGGCTCGCGCTCCAATCGATCAGCACAAACAGCTCGGCATGTGGCTGACAGTGCGCCTTCACTTCTACCCTATGCTTGTGGTCTACCGTAGGAAACGCCGCTCGTTGTACTCATTCGCAAAAACAAAACTTGGAACCATACTTTGCCCATACGTTTACATAGACTGTGTATATATATATACTTATATATATATATAAGTATGATATGATATGACAGTTAGAACATGTTTCAATATATCAAAAATGAATACAAACAGACATTTATAATACCAACAAATACGTATGTACACATACACACACACACATACATACATACATACATACATACATACATACATACATACATACATACATACACGTCCTCATACAGACCCCATTTTTACAATTTGCATACAGCACCAGTCGCATCACGTAGCTATACCCTGAGACTTGTATGCATACCTCTGCACCGCTACCGAGGGAACGGTGATTGTTTATAGGCTATGATGATAGTGCTTCCTACATACAGTCCACATTACATGAGGGCACGCACACTGTGGATGACATGTCCTGGCACTGAGCAATGAGCAAGCTGCCAAGGCTGTCATGTTGACATGAGAACCTGGAGTAACATGTTCTGGCACTGACATGGGTGTCAAGCTTGCCGTGTGGGTGCAAACTTCAAGTAGAGCAATGCAAGCAGTGCTGCTGTGCTCTTTTGGAGCTGGCCATCATCGCGGATTCACAGGAATCCCAGCTGCCTCAGCCAAAACCTTCAGGAGTCCACTCAGGACACCGGGCCCTTCATGTAAGCGCAAAAATTGGGCACAAGATGCACGGGAGCAAACATGCGACGGGTTGGGCAAGTACTTTGCCATGCAGGACGCGACATGCGACCGTTATTAGTATTTGGATTCTTTGCTTCCTCAAGATGCACCTCGGGCTCTCACGCCGGTCAGATCTCCTTCTTACACGGCACTTCAGGCTCAGCTTTCGGCGTGCTGACCATGAACTGGCGGCTCGGCGACTGCCAGAATTGCAGGTTGGCGTGCTGATGAAAGGGTTAAAGGGCATTTAGCAAACAGGCCTCTGCCCGACCACCGTAAGCGGCAGCGAGTGCTTTTGGCCAGGTTTCGAAAACTCGTTTCCCGCGGATGGTGAGGCGGCGGAAGGATGCCATGGCCTCCTCGCCGAGGAGTTCCTGCGGACGGCCTGTCGGATGGGCATGCACTACGGTCAAGCAAGAGACATGAAGTAGCTTCACGCCTTGCGGATCGAAGCATTCAAGTGCCAGGCAGAGAGACAAGATCTCCTCTTGCACTAGAATGGCGAGGAAGTGCTCTGCATCACGCCTTGGAAGTGGGCTTGGAGTTTGGATGAAATTGGTGTGCGGCCACATGATGAATATTGTATAGCCTAGGGGCGCGCTGAGGTTTTCAGGCAGGGCTGGCAGCAGGTCTTCCTCCAGGCTCTGAAGGTAGCCTTCGGCCGTGCTCGAGATCTGGCCCCATGGCGATGGGGCAGGTGCCTCTGCAACCTGCAACTCTTCCTCTGGAGCCTTTCCGGGAACAGGCTTCGCTGCTTCGGCTGCCTCTGCAGCCCCTATGGTCACTGCCTTGGTAGGAGCGTCTCCGGGGGTGCACTTCGCAGCCTTTGGCTTTACTGCGGAGAGTGATTCTCGCTTGTACTCGTCTCGGAAGATATCCGAGTCACTCTCTGAGTTCCCCATGGCGTCAGCCTCCTCCTTCCCGTCGTCTTCTCCTGCCGGATCACCCGTCTCCTCCTTGAACTCTGCCTTGACGTTGCTGCCAAGCTCTTTCTTCACACACTGGCCAGCCTCAGGCCCGCCCTTGCCGCTCTTGCCTGGCGTCTGGTGCATTTCTCTTGACATATCGTCTTCCGCATCCTGGCTCGTGGCATGCAAACACGATAATAGCGGGACCCTACTAACCAATGGTTCCCGACATGTTCGATCAAGGAGCGCGGCATATTTGATCTGTCTCTCTCTCTCTCTCTCTCTCTCTCTCTCTCTGTGTAGGAGTAAGAGTAGGAGTGGCAGTGGCAGTGGCAGTGGCAGCGGCAGAGGGGAGTGGCTGTGTGTTTGATGTGTTCCAGCTATGAGTTTGATGGGTGGCTCCCGGGCCCCAAATTCGATTTCGTTTGCTGGTGCTACTTTTCGGCTGTGTGTTTAGTCTTAAACCTAGTTTTGAACCATTACAGGAGCG